TTTTTTTTTTCAAGCTACCAGGTCCAGGCCTCTAACTGTAGGGTCAGCTATGTGGGATATGGCTGTCTTAACCACCAGGCCACAGAGGTCAACCCTAAATTTAATTTTTAAATATTTGTGAGCACTTCATATCCTTTGTTTCTTAGCTTCTGGACCTCAGTCAAAATTCCGAGACAACACGGCATCAACACGAGACCAGCAGTTAGCGTAATGGCTATGTCACTGAACTCCCATGTAGCTGACCACGGTTTGAGTCCCAGACCCAGTGGCTTAAATTCACGCCAGGCGCATGTGCATGTATGCCCAAGATCCCAAGAGGGGTATGGAGGAGAAGGGATTGCAACATGGCCATCCTCCCTGGGGGGTGATTTCTGGCTTTCTATCTCTCTGTCTCTCTCTGTCTTTCTGGCGAGTGCTCTCACCCCATAGCAAAAACCTCTGGAAAAAAAAAAAAAATCCCAGACAACAGGGAAAGCCTTGCTTAACTTCCTACTAGATGCAATGAAGAGTGAGGTTTAGTCACTCTACTGAGGTCCCATAGATAAGAGGCTATAGGGACTTGAAATGAGTTTTGCGTACCTAGTTTATTTTATTAGACTGTGCTGGAATCTTGAAAAGGTATAACTCCAACAAACAACAAGACTGTTTAGAGAGTCACTTGTCAAAACAGCTTGCTCCTACATTAGTTTTCTAAGAAGAATCCTTAACATACAGGCAGTTCTATGTTATATAAGCTCTCCTCCCAACTTCTCTGCTTTGAAGAGATCATTAGAAAAATAAATCTTTGAATTATTCTTAAAAACATGTGTTCAGGGGCCAGCAGGTTGCACAGTGGTTAAGGCTCTAGACTCCTACATGGCTGATAATAGTTCAGGTCCTGGACCCCAATGGCTTGAAAATTATGCTGGATGTGTACGTGTTTGCCCAAAATTTTGAGAGGAGAAGAGACTGCAGTGTGGCCATCCTCCTGAAGGGTGTTTTTTCACTTTCCCTTTCTGTATCTATTTCTTTCCTCTCTTGTGAGTGCATGTACCCTATGACAAAAAAAAAAAAAAAAGCCTATAAAATAGATGTGCCTATAAAATGGATGCTGTTCACTAAACACAGTTCAATCCTTAAAACTACTTCCTTAACAGAAAAAATAGCTAACACAATCCACTGGCTGGGAAAAATATCTTCATCAAGAAAAAAAAAAATACATTACCCTTTTAACAGCAGCTTCTCATCTTCTCCTACTTAAAGGGCATATCTTTGCAACTAAGCCACATTTTAGATATTCTTTCTCTTATATTGCCCCAAATGATGTTACAGGTTTTTGAAAGAATCATAATGCATAGCTGAAAATTAGTTCCAACTAGAATTTGGAAATTTAATTATCACTTTAACCACCTGTATCCAGGATCATCAAGAAAGCTGGCTTGGAGAGATATGGCTGATAAATAATTGGAATGATTTTCTTTCTACATTATCCCTCAGACTTTTGGTATACCATGATGAATTTTCTCGTATGAATTGGAACATCATTTAATGCAGTCTGAAAGTGGGGGGGAGGGGGAATTCTACTAACAGCTATCAGACCTTCATAATTAAAAAAAAAATCAAAATGTGTTCAGAGTCATTTAATCTTTATTAAAATTATGTGGGGTTGACAAAGCAAAGTTTTTCACATATCTACAAATTTATTAATAAGTTAACTTTTTTGTCTTATTTTCCCCAGCTATTGAAGGACAAAACAATGAATGAATCATGTGATCCTGTCCTGCTGCCTATAACTGCCTAGGTCAAGGATGGACAACTGATCTAGCTAATCTTTTATAAGTCCTGTAACAATGCTTTGTATGAAGGACTCTGCCCCAAAGAAGATGAGCTGGAGCTTGATCAATTTTACTTGAGGCAGGTTAGAATCGGAAAACCAAGGCGGTAAGCTCTGAGTAGCTAAACTAATAGGTCACTGAGACTTGGGCCATGAGGCACCCACTATGAAATAGGTGTAACAGGGATAAATAAAGGAAGTTGTTTGTTAAGAAGGAAGGATGAATAGAATAAATAGAACAGCTTCTGTAGTAATGGTTGTCTATGTACTCTACAGTTACAGGTAAGGCCTGGTGATTTGTTTTCTGACTAGATTGCCAATAAGACACCGCTTTCCCATGAAATACACCTCTTTACATGAATTAGTTCATGTGGATTACTTGAACCAGTAAAATCTCAATCAGAACAACCCATTTTACTGACAGCTTCTTCTTTCTGCACATAAAATGGAATCCAAACTCTTTAATCTGAAAACACATCCCTACTTGAGACTTCCACAATGACTTCATCTCATGCCACTTCTCAATCTGTTCATTATATGTTAACCAGTTTGTTCTTTCTAGTTTCTCAAAATATTAAGCTCTTTCCCATGTCATGGAATGTATATTTCATACAGGACGGGGGCTGTGTTGCCATGTACACTTTTGCATTTTCAGAACTTAGCACATTACCTGGCCATGATACATACTCAATGAATATTTGTTAAACTTATTGGTAGATGAATGTGAAAATCTCAAACCTATATTTTTTCATGCACTGTGCATTATTCCATATCGCTTGGCCAACCAACAGCCAATCAATTTGAATTTTCAGTTTTGAATTATAGAATTTATAGTTACCATGGGTATCTATAAAATAACATGGTTAGTGAGCCCGGAAAAAAAAAACACAGTTCTTTTACTGATATCACCAAAACATGCTGCTGGGTTATGTGGACAAAATATCTGAACTCTAAAACATGGAACATAGAGGGAATGACTAAATGTATTTAGCAAAGACTGGGTATGAAGTATTCCACTTTCTAGAGTCTGAAAATAGATCGTAAGATGTGCAAATTACCCATTTTTAGTTATAAAATATTAAACAGATTAATAGAATACTTTTTTTTGAATCAAAGGCATAGAGGAACATTTTGGAAATGTTCCCCTTGCACATTAATAATGGTCTAATTACTAGAAATTACACCATATGCTTCCAAAGCTGGAGTCTGTTTTCTTCCCTTTTGAGTGTAAGAAACATAACCTTTGTCCAAAGAGAAGTTGACCATAGGCCAAGGAAAAAATTTCTTAGGGAGTTTGAGGATTACCTTTCAGATATCTCAGGAATATAAACTGCTAAGTAACACAAACACTTACTCGAATGGCTGAGGCTGTATGGTGCAAATTGGATTAAAGTGTCTACCAAATGACTTGTTCTTCCATGTAACAGGTTACATACCTTCCTGGTGTTTGTCATACATCTCTTCATGCAATTCATCCCATTAGTCTACTCTTTAGCATAGCACCTGTTAAGTTCTTTTCCTGCATTCTTCACCCAACTGCATTCTCCAAACCAGCTTTCCAAGATCAGGATCTGAGACATGGTTGTTTCCTGTTCCCCAGCATCTAGTCTAGTGCTTGGCTCGTAGTTGCCAATACCAAGACCCATGATATGCAAAACTACATCTTGGTTAGGAGGTCAAGCTCAAATCCTGACTTCACAGCATACTATGTGTGACTTTGGCAAAGGTGTTTCACCACATTATGTCTTCACTTTCTATCTGCAGAAGAGAGTGTTAATAAATACCTACTTCATAAAGTCTTGATTAGAATGGAATATGACATAAAATAAGCACTGAATAGGTTCTAGCTACTATTATTATATTATAGTTGAATGAGTGGAATGAATGTCCTGACAGAATTCCCCACATACCTGGGTTCTTGTCTTGATCCCAGAGTTCTTAGTAGCTGGTTTCCACCATTGCTCCCAGTGCTGCTAGAACCAAGAGAAGAGATACTTGGCAGCACAGTGAGAATCAGGGAATTGTTGATAGGCTTATGGTAGGAGTACAAGGGAAAAGTAAGGTGAATAATAAAAGGAAAATCTTGTCTATTGTCTGTAGGTAGGCATTGTCTTTTGTCTTCCCATCTTGTAGGATCTAAGCATTGTTTTCAGCATTGCTGCCTCCAAGAGAGATGGTGATATGTGGAAGGGGATGAACACGAACTTACCATTCTCACCAATGAGCTAACCTGCGGTTGTTGAGAACCACTTATGTACTAGGAATTCTAGGAATTCTGCCAGATGAATGAGATGTCATAATCAGTCTCTATTCTAATGGATTTATAGTCTAGTGGGGAAGGTAAGTACTGAACAAATAGATCCAACATGGGATGATAAAGCAATGCCCAGTGCTAGTGCAGAATTCAACGGTGGGAGCTGGCAAATTCTTGAGCATTAGGGAGGTTTTGGTGATATTTCAATAGATATCTATAGAACAGGAGGATGAGTTTAATGAAGAGGGCTGGCAAGAATGTTTCAGGCAGAGGAAAAAGCAAGTACAAAAATGCAAAGTGGAAAAAGATGATGTGTTAGAAGAACCAAAAGAAAGCAGGAAAGTGATGGAAGGGCAGAGATTTGTGGCAAAGGGAGGATGCAAGAAATAAGGCCATAGGCCACTGTCCCATTCCTACTACCCCGAACTTCCTCTTCTCAGATCCTCTCCTGCATTCAGAGCCTACCCTGGAAATCTCCAGCCTTCTCACTACCAACAATTGCCCCTCCCTTATTCATTTTGCTTGTGTCATTTTTATTTTGAATATTTTGTTTTGACATATCTCATCAAACACACGGCATTATTAAGACATGCATTACCCCATTTTTAATTAAAGTCATCTTTAATTGCTAGTCACAGCTTCAGATCAGAATGAGACAATGTTATCACACAAAGCTGATGGAATTCCAGGGAACAGCATACAAATGGGACAGACTGTTGAATAATACTAGTAATCACTAATGTAGGTTGAATTATTGCTATAGGCCAGGCATTGTAATACTTTCTATGCATTTTACTTTCATTCAGTTCTTATACAATGCTAGGAAATATCCCAATTTCTAAAAGAAGACACTGAGATTTCAAGAGGTGAGTAACTTATCTGGGGTGCAAACCCACACAGTGTGACCTGATTCTGTCCTCTTAACCACTTCATTTGTAGTTTCTGGGCATGCAGATACATTATTAGTAAGTCCATTTGAAATTAAAAAAAATTTTTTTAGAGAGTTGATTTGCTATAGGTTACATGTGCTTGCCGGAGAGATAGAGAATAACACAGAAACAGAAAGCGAGAAATTACCCCCCAGGGGGGTATAATTTCACTTTCTCCATAGTCCCTTTTCTTCCATTCTCCTCTCTGGATCGCGGTTACACAAGCACACATATTTAGTGTGAGTTTCAAGTCACTGGGCCTGGGACTCAAACCATGATTGACTACATGAGAGTTCAGTGACGTAACCATTATGCCATCCTCTGGCCCCAAGTCCATTTGATTTTTTAAAATTATTAAAAAGCTTGGAACCAGCAGCTGGCTGAATGGCTGTGTCGCTGGACTCCCATGTAGTCAATCATGGTTCGAGTCCTGGACCCAGTGGCTTAAACTCACGCCAGGCATGTGTGTGTGAGTGCCCAGGATCCTTAGAGGACAATGGAGGAGAAGGGATTGCAGCGTGGCCATTCCCCCTGAGGGATGATTTCTCGCTTTCTGTCTCTCTGTCTCTCTCTGTCTTTCTAGCAAGCGCACACGTCCTATAGCAAAAACCTCTTAAAAAATAAAAAAAGTTTAGGGCAGCCAGTGTTGTGGTGGTTAAGGCATCTAGATACTGTGTGACTGTTCTGGCCATTCAAGTACCAGACCTGGCTGCTTGAAAACCATGTGGTGTGTGTGTGCATTTGTACCCCCAAATTCTGAAAGTAGGGAGAAATGAAGAAGGGATTGTGACATGACGATGCCAGTATGACCCATAGTGGAGATTTTATTGCTTCCATACATCCCCACCACACTGTGCTCTCTGGCAAATTAAAAAAAATTACTAAAAGCTTCTAATATTTCTCCTTCTTCCCCTCCCTCCTAAAGTTTATGCCTTTGAAAATAGCACTACTAGGTGTTTTCAGACCCTTAGACAGTTCCTAGCTTACAAGTCTGGGACATTCAGCTTGATCATAAGACTCAACAAATAGGAGACAGATTCTGAAATTCTCTTCTCTCCATGGGCGGGCATAACAATAGTCCTTCGATGCTTTTGGATTGAATTTTTACTCAAACTTGACAGAAGGATTTACTTATGCAACTATTAATAAGTCAATCTGAAAAGCTTTACTATAAGTTGTTCACTGTAATTTTGTTGAAAGTCCTCACTTTATTTTTGCATGAATAGTACTTGCTAATGGACACCACAGAGCAGTCATCTAATTACCATGAGATTCATGAGGAAGAAAATAAAATGCAAATGTTCTTGGGCAGCTCTAACATTATGTTAATGAATCAAAGCTAAAATCTCCAAATATCTCTTAAATAATAATAGTTTAAGTGGTGTCAGGATCATGGCATTTAAAGTCAGTGGGAGAATTCCAGTCCTTCAATTTGACAAGTGTTCCATTCTAAAATGGAAAATATCAAAGAAATTATTTGCACCATGCATACACAAATGCATTAATTTATTTATTGGTTCCTATAGCAACAGAAGATGAAAGAAGCTGAGCCTATATGCTTCTGTATAAAATAAACTTGCTGAAAGTATTTATTTCAAATTAAAACTGAATATTGGGTTTATCCTCAAAACAATGGTGAATAATAATAGTAATAATAATAATGTAAGATGGCTTATACATTCTACAGTATTTAGAGATTTTTCACAACTAGGAGGAATGCCACTATTCTTTTAAACTCAAGTCTCTGTCCATAGCTAGATTTAGGTGTTGCTAGCTAAGCACTGTTTTGCCCATACAAACTTTGAACAACTATTTTGATTGAGAGTTGGGTAAATGAAGTGAATTAATTACTTATTGAGATAGAACCAGCAAGGAGGTAACTTAGTTTAAGAAAAAGCAGTTACTGTATGACAATGCTTATTCATTGTGAATATTGAACCAGTCAACTCATCTAGTGATAGTCAAGGAAGAAAGAAAAGGAGGAAAGAGGGAAGGAGTCAAGGAATTAAAGCTATCCAATAGGTACATCTCACCAAGCAGTGACCAGGTACTCAGTAGGCTGAAGGGTTAGGAAATTAAATTATGCCTTGCCCTTAATTTCAAGGAAATTTAAGTGTTTTTAGGTCATTTTAAAATAAAAGAGCCTCCTCTTTCTCCCTCAGATTTTTAGTTATTATTATTTTAAAACAGATTTTATTTTTTAAAGCAGTTTAGATTAATAGCAAAGCTGATCAGGAGATTCAGATAGTTACTTTCCATATAATCCTTGCATCTGAACATGCAGAGCCTCCTTCATTAACAATATCCCCCACCAGAATGTCCATTAGTTGATTATGAATGCACACTGTCACATCATTGTCACCCAAAGTTCACAGTACACTACTATGCTATCTGTACACATAATAGTGTGAAGTGTATACATAGTACATTGTCATTTGGGACGACGGTTTGTCAGTTTCCTAAAAATCTAAACATATTCTTACCATATCATCCTACAACTATGCTCCTTGGTATTTGCTCAAGGACAATAGACTTACATTCACACAAATGCCTGGATGTGGATATTAGCAGCTTTATTCATAATCAACAAATGTTAAAAGTGATCAAAGTATCATTCAGTAGGTGAATGGATAAATACATTGGGTACATGGGGACAAATGAATATTACTCAGTGCTAAAAAGAAATGAGCTATTAAGCCACGAGAAGCCAAGAGGAAAACTTAAATGCATGTTACTAAGTGAAACAGGCCAATACGAAAAGGATACACGCTGAATGATTCCAACATATCCTATGCTATTCTGGAAAAAGAAAAACTAGGATAATGTTTAAAAAAAAAAGAATCAGTGGTCGACAGAGGCTGGGGAGTCAGGGGAGGAATGAATAAGTAGAGCACTGAGGATTTTTCAGAATGGTGAAACTATTCTGCATGATCCTATAAGGGTGGATACATGTCATTATGTATTTGTCAAAACTCATAAAGACCATAACACCAAGAGCAAACCCTAGCGTAAACTATGGATGTTAGGTGAAAATAATGTGTCAGTCTAGGTCAGCATTTTAAGAGCTTTACCACTCTGTCACAGGATGTTGATGGTGGGTAAGTTTGTGCACCTTGTGGGGAGGGACATGTGATGAGAATTGTCTTTATTTTTCTGTTCAGTATTGTTGTGAACCTAAAGCTGTTCTGAAAAATAAAGAATATGTATAAAATATATGTATGTATTATATATGTTAACTCAGACTCAAATATACATTATATATATGTATATACATATGTACACATATATACATGTGCATACACATACACAAACACACACACACACACATATATTAGACAGCTTGATAGTTTCTTAAATATATATGTAACATATATTTCCTGGATTAATATATGTAATATTTTTGTAACATATATTTGAATCCAGAAATGGCATTTTCGTAAATAAGTTACTCATGGACAGAAAGAAGTCTAAGTAAAAACTGTATTTTTCAAAAACTCTATTATAGAACTTCATTTTCAGGGCAAGTATTTGCCATTAAAAAAATAAGAGATAAAATAAAAATCATCATGGAAATGTGTCATAAAGAAAAATAGGGGGACCAGCAGTTAGTGTAATGGCTATGTCACTGGACTCCCACGTAGTCGACCACGGTTCGAGTCCTGGACCTGGCGGCTTAAGCTCATGCCAGGCACGTGTGCTTGTGTGCCCAAGATCCCGAAAGGAGAATGGAGGAGAAAGGATTACAGCGTGGTCATCCCCCCTGGCGGATGATTTCTCGCTTCTGTCTCTCTGTCTCTCTCTGTCTTTCTGGTGAGTGCACACTCCCTATAGCAAAAACCTCTCCAAAAAAAAACAAAGAAAAAAGAAAAATAGGAACCCATTTTAGAATTGCAGAAAGGAAATTTTGACTCCAAATCTGAACAAAAGCTACTTTTAGGTAGCCTTGTCTCACTTAACGGTAGCTTTGCACATTCAGGACAAACGCAGTTGCAAGGAAGACCAGGCCCAAGGTAGCAAGAATTAGAGCACTGGACGAAGAAAGAGCAGGACAG